GAAATGGCCTCCAGTTGCACCAGGGGAGGTTTAGATTAGATATCAGGAAGAATTGCTTTACTGAAGAGGTGATCGAGCACTGGAACAGGATGCTCAAGGAAGTGATGGACTCACCATTCTTGGAATTGTTCAAAAAACATGTAAACGTGGCACTTAAGGATGTGGTTTAGTGGTGGTTTTAGCTTGGCAGTGCTGGGTTAGTGCTTGCACTTAATGATCTTCTCCAACTTTAATGTTTCTGTGATTCTATGAATATTTTATATATAAAACCCCAGATATTTGTGTATGTAAATATATTTGCATATCTATTTATATACATGTGTGTAAATCTATTTATATACATGTGCATAAATACATATGCAACTCACCGCACTGGGTTTTTTTCTGAGACTGCGTAGATCCATGTTCACTGGAACTGTCAAGACAATACCACTTCTTTCTGATTGTTACTGGACAATTGAAATGATGATGATAATGGATAAATGCAAGGAGGGGAATATACGCATTTCCTGCTTTAAAAGAGTCAGCCTCACAAAGTACAGAAGTAAGGGAGAAAACTTATGTTAAGCTTGTGAATGGTAATTAGGAAACCATTTAAAATGTATTGCTAGAAGCTTGCAAAGACATCATTGAATAAAGAAGGTGATTGATTTTGGTCTTGATTTTGAGAAAGAAGGTCCTTAGTAAAAAATTCAGCTGGACTTCAGATGGAATTTTTTTTTTAAATTCTTTAATAAAATTTAAAAAGTATAAAGTTAATTAAGTTTAATAAAAGCATAAATATCAAAGAGTAGGAAGGAGACATTGATTTGAATGAATATAAATCCAAAAGAATGTGATAAAATATACAAAACAAAACAAAAAAATATTAATGGACAGATGTTCAAAGATAATATTGTTTTATGTAAATTGAGACTGAAAGAAAGTCATTAATGCTAGAAGTCTGTTACTTGATGGAAGTTGTGGAATTGTCAGTAAACAAAACAAGCAACAGCTAGGTCCAAAAGTCATTTTTGTTGTAGATTGAAAAATGCATATGATATGAGTTGTATCCTAGGGATAACTAATAGTAATTAAGTCATTCTTAAAATTTCAGTTTCCCAAAACTATTCTAGAATCTACACATTTTAAAACCCTTCTGTTTATTTGACTTGTATACAAGATCTTTAAAAGAAAGAAACTTCTAACTTTCTGGAAAGTAATGTCAATATTCTCTGTCACCAATTCCCAGGAGACTGGCTGGGAGGCAGGTACTGTTCTCATCCAGTCCTGGACACCTCTTTGAGAGTTTTCACCTCTGGGCTGGTCATCCTACATTCCTTTTAAAGTCAACTGAGAGACAGAGGCATTTCTAGAATTAAATTAATCTGACTAAAAGCTGACATCTATGGTTAAAATAATCACATCCTAATGTGGTATCCACATTTTTTTTAGAAAACCAACAGGATGCCCAAGCTTTCTCAGATCTGCCTGAGGCATGGGTCCTGGCTCTCCTTGCAATGCAATGGAAGAGGTCATGTCCTTGGAGGTCTAAGCAAGGTCATCTTGTAGGACTGAGCTTTTGACATGAGCATCACTCTGGTGGGAAAGCTGAGCTGAGAACTGAATGTTCTACCACTACAGTTCAGGCAAATGTTGATGCATTGAAAATGTTCAGAGAAAAGTTATGAACCTTTCTAGATGCCCTACAAATCAGTGGAAGACACAGAGATCCTGGTAAGTATTATTTATTTTCGTAGTGTAAAAATATGCCCATGGCTTTAATAAATATGCAAAAAAATACGTAACAAATGTAAGGGGGAAATACTGAAACCAAGATAATAATAAGTTGGATTTTGTATTAATGCCATTCCTAGTATGTAAGCTGCTTTCTGCAAGTGTCTGTCTATCCTGACTTTAGTGACTCTAAAGGGACCAAGGGTGCTTAGACTACTAGTTCAGACACATCTATTTATCCTGTAAAGGATGGTTTAGGCTAAAAGTGGTATTTAAACAGCAGGGTAAAACCTTAAACTTAAAATCAAAAGTGTGTTTAAAGGATTGGGAAAGACACCTTACAATAAGAAACTCAGGAAGTTCAATCTATTTTGATTACTAAAGAAGGCCAAAAGTAATTTAATCACAGCCTGGCATTACCTACAGGGTTAATCTCAATAGTGACTTTTCAACCTGTCTAGCAAAGATAAAACAAAAGTCAGTGGCTGGAAACTGAAGATAGACTAGAAACCAAACATAATTATTGGCAGTGACAACAAATAATAATTGTAAGAGTGACTGCTGATCCTTTCATTAAAGAGCCCTCAAAATCAAATTTACAAAAAAATAATCTGCAAATCAGGCAGTCAATAACTGAGGAAGGAATATAGCTTTTTCTGTGCTAGATTCAGGCTAGTCTCATACTGCCAAGTAATCTAAGAATCTATAAATCCACTATCCAGGAGTTTTCCTATTTTGATCTGTTTAAAGAAAATGTTATCTCCATGCTTATCATGATAACACTGAATTCCTGTTATATGCATAAGGTTCAAAGCTGGTTAATTACCATTTTTTCCAGTTCCAGCCTCTTGTATGATTTGCCACTGCCTCTCACAGCACTCTTGTTTTGAAAACTAATTCCCATTATCTAAAAGACTTTCCAAAGCAAACACAGCAGTGTAGCACTTTCTAATATTTATTTTGTATTCTCAAAGAATAGGCAATAGTGTTAGGAGGGTTTTTTTTTTTTGAGAGGAGAGTTCTTCTACAAAGAAACTTGTGTCCACTGTAGTTTTACTTAGTCCAAGGACTAGGTCCATGGGCCAAGGGCTTTGCTTTTTCTTCTGAAAACTTCTTAAAACTTAACTTCTGAATATGCAGTAGGGGTTTATTTAATGGGAATTAGGTAAAGACCTTATTCTAGTAGCAGCAAACTCTGCTTCAGTGCCTAACTGCAGCAGGAGATGGCAGATGAAAAGGGGTTTCACGTACTAAGACAAAGATGCAGAGTTTTTAAGGTCACTATGATTCTCCCTCTAGCCTTCTTTTCTACATGATTTGGAAAAAAAAAATAAACTACAACCAAAACCTTCTCCTGTGGAAGCCTGCCTCTTGCTTTGATGTTTTTGACTGCATGGGGAGCACCCATCACCCATTCCCTGCACTTGTGTGCTAGGGAAGGTAAACTCAGCAGTGCTGGGAACAGCTCAGTGGACATGTGCAGCACACCATGTGTGTTCACAGCATTATCACCCACCCAGATTAGCAGCTGAGCACTGCTGGGTGCAGACAGCAATGCCTGCAGGTAAATATGGGCTTTGCGAGATATGGTTGAGTTGCCGACTCCATTGCAGGCTCCTTGCCTGACCTTGGGACTGGAGCACTGTCTGCCTCTGTGTTTAAAAAGTTAAGATAATATTACTTGTCTGCCTCACAAGGATTTTGTGAGGTTAGAGACACTGTTTATTCAAGCTACATGTAAAGTGTTACAGCAGTGAGAGCTATGTAAATACCTATGCTCATGAAACCTCAACTAAAGCACTACCCATCTTGCTAAGGAAAGCGCATTAATGCCCATCAGTCCCTGCAATGTCCCAGGACAGCTCACACACAGTTTCCCCCCTCTCTGAGGTAAAGAAACCCCATTGGTGATTGAGCCTCAGAGGAGAAATCTGCAAAGAATGACCACAGAGCACTTCATAGCACGGGTTTTGCTGTGATTTACGGTCTTGTGCTCGGTAAGGAGCAATAGCTAAGGGGTGGCTTATCCCATTAGTCCCAGTCTTGGTTGACCAGTGGAGCTGGGGAATGATGGGGAACAGCAAAGGCCCTGAGGTGCACTTGGAGGCCTGTCTGCCTGTGACAGATACCCTCAGGAGCACATGCACATGCCACATGCTGTATGCACACAGAAGGAGGTTGCTTAACCAGGGCTTTACAAATATTTTCAAAGCGCTTTACAAACAATTCATTAATAGATGACATATTTTTGCTAAAGGCACAACTAGCTCAACTAGATTTTATTACAGGTATAAATAATATCAAGAGAATTTAAGTGTGAGCCTTGTTTCTCTGCTCTTAATCCCTCCTCCTGCTGACATGTTAAAGGTCTGCTTAATCATCCAGCCCTTTCCTCCCAAATTCACAAGCGCTTCACCCACACTTACTTGTTTTACAGGGATTTGTACAAATGCCAGGAGGTACCTAGCAGTGCCCTACAGGTTTCATGGCCTCAATGAAAAAACAAACAATTCTACAGCCCAGATGTGACCCAGCAGTGCAGTTTAACCCATTGAAAAGACAAACCAGGAGCTTAGAAAGCCATCTCGGACATTTTTAACCAGACAGCAGAAGAGCTGAGCACTTAAGGCTGGAAAAAGGCCAGAAATGATGGGGGGATTGGGGCACGATGAGCCTTAACACATCTGCTGAGCCCAAACCCATCTGCACGGGGGTGTGTCCCTGTGGAGCCAAACTTCGGGAGAGGCCCTAGGACCAGCATTCGTGGTGGGAACTCGGGGGACAGTGACGATGTCTCCCAGGGCCGCTGGCCGCACGGGACAGAAGGGGGACCCGCTGTGGGGAGACCAGACACGGACAGGAATCCCCGGGGTTTCTGAGGGACGCAGGACGAGGGGCGCAGGTAGTAGGTCACTAAGGAGAAGGGGCCCCTGAGAGGAGCGGTGGATGCAGCCGGTGGAAGTGCGCTCCTCGGGGCTGGGGGTAGGGGCTCCCCAGGGGCTCTCCCGGGGGCGGAGAGGAACTCCCCGGTGCCAGGCTGAGCTGCAGGTAGGACCCCTGCCCTGCCCTGCGGCGGGGCGCTGCGCTGCGCGGGGCGGGCTCCCGCGGCGGGGGCGGTGGCGCCGGGAGGGCCGGGCCGGGAGGCGCGTCCCTCCCCTGGGCCGATTCTCGGCGAGGCTGTTTAATAGCGGAGCCGCCCCCGGCCCGCCCCGTTGGAGCCGGCCCGTGCGGCACGGCGCGGCCGGGGCCGGGGCCGGGGCCGGTGCGGGCCATGGCGGGGGGCGGCGGGGGGGCGGCCGGCCGCGCCCGGCTGCTGGCCGTGCTGCTGGCGGGGCTGCTCGGCGGGGCGCGGGGCTTCGGCGACGAGGAGGAGCGGCGCTGCGACGCCATCCGCATCGCCATGTGCCAGAACCTGGGCTACAATGTCACCAAGATGCCCAACCTGGTGGGGCACGAGCTGCAGGCGGACGCGGAGCTGCAGCTCACCACCTTCACCCCCCTCATCCAGTACGGCTGCTCCAGCCAGCTCCAGGTGCGTCGGGGCTCCGGGAGGACCTGGGTGCGTGGGCGAGGTGGGGACGACGCACAACGGGGCCGTGCGGTCCCGGGCCGGCTGCTGTCCCCCAGCACCCCATCCCCATCCCCTCGACTCAGTACTAGACCAACCCGAAAGTCGCGCCGCCTCGCAGTGTCGCTCCTGGCTGGCTGGGAAGAGAGCGTGGCTCACGCTGGGCGGAGGTGCGGTGTCCCGGCGGTGTCCCGGCGGTGTCCCGGCTGCCCGCGGCCAGGAGCGCCCGCCGCAGCGCGGTACCCCCCGCCCGCCTGCTCGGGGAGGCTGCGGAGACTCCCGGAGGTTTCCCGGGCGCTGCCCTGCGTCCCGGCCGTGCCCCAGCCAGGTGCCGCGCCCGATTCCATACGGGAAGAGCGGAGCTGGCCGAGGGGAGCTGCGGCAGCTCGGGACTCCGCCGGGAGCTTCACCGCGAAAGTTTCTTTCCCAGGCGAATGGCAGGATCCCTGTCCTCCCCACGGGCATGGATTTCCTCAAACAAAACCCAGCTTGTTTCTCGGGACAGAGTTCCCGAGTCAGCACGCAACTTCTCTCACGGCGTCTCGTCGCCAGATTACTATTATTCAAAAGACGAGAAAACTACAATATTTTATTACCGTTGTAAATGCATATGCGAACTTATTGTAAAAGAAAAACCTTTTTCTGGGAGGATCGTGAACCAAAGTACTTCAATAAATGCTTTTTTTCTCCTATTTGTTTCTTAGCTGAAATATCCAAGCAATGCTCAGAACAAATTTATGTATCTGTTTAAATCCCTTTAATTTGGTTTTCTGCTTTCTTAAATTGTACCCTTGAGGTTTAAATCTGGCTAAATCCCACTTTCTTCATTGGAACTGATGGACTAAATTTACATGGAGCTAATCTAGGGAGTAAAATGTTCAGGCTTTGGCTTTGGACCACATTTGAACTGAAAGAAGACAACATTGTTATTTTTTTTCTCTTTTGTTTTTATTGTTCTCGGTTTATTTGTTTTATGCTGCTTCCTGTTTTTTTAAGGCAAAGGACCAAATATTTCTGCTAAAAAGGAAAAAGGAAAACTTGTTATATTGCAACCTGTTTCATTTTCCCCTGACACACCTGTGATTTCTGTTCCTCTCTTCCAGTTCTTTCTGTGTTCGGTTTATGTGCCAATGTGCACAGAGAAGATTAACATCCCCATAGGTCCCTGTGGAGGCATGTGCCTCTCTGTCAAAAGAAGATGTGAACCTGTTTTAAAAGAATTTGGGTTTGCCTGGCCAGACAGCCTAAACTGTAGCAAATTCCCACCCCAGAATGATCACAACCACATGTGCATGGAGGGCCCAGGAGACGAAGAGGTTCCCCTTCACAGCAAGACCTCCTTGCAGCCTGGAGAAGAGTGCCACGGCATGGGATCTAACTCAGATCAGTACATTTGGGTGAAGAGAAGCTTGAGCTGTGTCCTGAAGTGTGGCTATGATGCAGGTCTCTACAGCAGGTCAGCTAAGGAATTCACAGATATCTGGATGGCCATATGGGCCAGCCTTTGCTTCATCTCGACTGCCTTCACAGTCCTGACCTTCCTGATTGATTCATCCAGATTTTCCTACCCGGAGCGGCCAATCATATTTTTGAGCATGTGCTACAATATTTATAGCATTGCTTATATTGTGAGGCTAACTGTGGGCCGGGAAAGGATATCCTGTGATTTTGAAGAGGCAGCAGAACCTGTTCTTATCCAAGAAGGTCTTAAGAACACAGGATGTGCGATAATTTTCTTGCTGATGTACTTTTTCGGGATGGCTAGCTCCATCTGGTGGGTTATTCTGACACTGACGTGGTTTCTGGCTGCGGGACTCAAGTGGGGCCACGAAGCAATCGAAATGCACAGCTCCTATTTCCACATCGCAGCCTGGGCCATCCCGGCGGTGAAGACCATCGTCATTTTGATTATGAGACTTGTAGACGCAGATGAGCTCACCGGCCTCTGCTATGTTGGGAACCAGAACCTGGATGCACTGACAGGCTTTGTTGTGGCTCCACTTTTTACCTACCTGGTCATCGGGACTTTATTCATCGCAGCAGGACTCGTGGCCTTATTTAAAATCAGGTCTAATCTCCAGAAAGACGGAACTAAAACTGACAAACTGGAAAGACTGATGGTCAAAATTGGGGTCTTTTCAGTGCTGTACACTGTCCCAGCAACGTGTGTCATCGCCTGTTATTTCTATGAAATCTCCAACTGGGCCATTTTCCGCTATTCAGCTGATGATTCCAATATGGCAGTGGAGATGCTCAAAATTTTCATGTCCCTTCTGGTAGGTATTACATCAGGTATGTGGATCTGGTCAGCCAAAACTCTGCACACATGGCAGAAGTGCTCCAACAGACTGGTGAACTCAGGGAAAGTGAAACGGGAGAAGAGAGCAGACGGTTGGGTGAAACCTGGGAAAGGGAACGAGACTGTGGTATGAGAAAAGGACAGCATCCCGCTGGTCTGACTGCTCTCCTGTGAAGGACTGATCATGTGTAAGCATTGCTGTATAAATGTTGGGAGTAGAATAGGGGGGCAATTACACAGCCTGTCTCTGGGGATGGGAGAAAAAATAAAAAGCCTTAAAGAATAAACAGCAAAAAGATCATGCTGCAGATACAATAGCCATAAACCATGCTGCCCAAAATAGGAGAGCCCGGGGAGGCTTTAAAAGCTGTGAAATACCCAAACATGTTATCTTCCTTTTTTTTTTTTTATTAAAGCAGGATGCAATTACTGAAATCTTGAAGTCTCTAGAAATGGAGGTGCTTTAGCCCATAGCTGTGGGATGAGGTTTTTCCTTTCATCATCTTACAGCCGATGGAGGAAAGGCAGGCCAGGGCCAAGTTCTGGGCTTAAAAAGAGTCCAGTTACCATGTTACCAGAAGATGCAGTGCCCTAGACCTCAGTCAGATGTCTTCTTCCTGACTTGAGCATTGAGAAGGAAGCACTTGATGAGGATTCTGTCCTTATGCCCTGGGGAATTCTTGTGTTCCAATACACTGTACAATTCAGTCAGGGATCACATCCTGAAACAAAAAGCAAATGGACTTTCCAGGTCCTTGCCGTGATGAGTAGGATTTAGTGAGGTATTAGTGAGGATGACTTTTCAGTCCTCTAATGGCCTAATAATAATTTTGACTCATTCTTTTTGCCATTTATAACCTGGTCCGAATGGAGAGTTGATTCTGCCTTGTGGGAATTTGAACCTCCCTATGTTTCTTCCCACCTCAGTTATTCTGTGGGTCTATCAATATTTATAAAATCTAAAAGCTTTACTCAAGGCCATCCTCAGAAGTAGAGGAATCAGGTCACAGTGGGAAACTGCATATGGTCTTCTGCATCTATTATCATTATCCATCTGCCTCCATTCCTGCCCCTTCAGGTGCTCCTGCTACTTCTAGCAGACCACTTTATTCTGCTGCATTTATTAGCTTTAAAAAGTCTTAACTATACAGTGTTCCTTCCTCTGGGAAAGAGAAAAGTTATTTGAAGGTACCTTCAAACAATACCATGTTTCTCCAAGCAAACTTACTTGTCTTTCTCTGCAGACTCATTGCATGAAGCAATTAGGTCTTAATGGATTTCATTCAGTGTGATGGTATCTCCTTCATAGACGCCAGTCTATGGAGAAGCAAAATGCTAAGTTCCTTGGCAACCTCGTGTTCACACAGATCAGTTGTGTAATTATGTGTGTCAGATGCAATTAAAAGAACATTCTCAGTCCATGACATTGCAGTACAGCTGACTGCTTCACAACGATGCTTCAATTGCTCACTGTCAGCTATGGAGACTTTATTTTAATGTATATTTATACACCAAATGCGAGCAGGCATTCAGTCCTCAGGAGCAACAAAGATCTTTCCAGTTTTTGTAGAGGGATCCAAGAAATCAAACTTCTTGCTGAATAATGTTGTTTCAAAGAAACCATTGCATTTTCTTATTCTGTTATTTGAGGAGGCACCAGCTTGTGCTTGTGGGAAGCTGAATGTAATGTCAGGGAATTGTAAGAAAGGTGATGCAAATACAGATATCCTAGAAGCACTTAAGAGAACACTGTTATGATGCTCTAGCCCTTTGAAACACATTTGTTTTTATCTATGTGCCCCAAGCTTTTGCTTCCTTTGTTTGTGTGGAACCTGATCAGCTGCAGAGCATCCCCCTGGTGCTCCAACTCCCGTGATCTTCCAGGGCAGCTGAGAGCAGATGCTGCTTTATTAAAGTACTTGCTTTCCGCACAGGTGCCCATGTGCTTTGCAAACCACAGTTCACTCCAGCTCTGGAAGTGAGCACTAATCTGTCCCAGAAGCATGTATTGTTTCAATGTCAGTGTCGAAACATGTGCTAGAGAATGTTTTTTTAGTTTTACAAACAAAATCCAGACCCCAAACAAGCCCTAATGGCAGTCTTTGCGGTTGGGCTCCCTCTCCAGCAGAACAAGTGACAACTTGACACATTCTGCTCAAGACACACTAGCACTGTCTTGGCCAACACCACATTCCAGCTGGGCCTTTTCACCCTCTCCATGGAGTCTCTCACTGTTAGTGTTGTGTTTGGATCTGGTTATTTCTTTGTGGACAGGGAGTTTTGCAAGTGTGAGATCTTCAGATGGCTGAGCTTCTCCATCATGCAGTCTTTCTGCTGGCGCAGTGAGGAATGTAAAGTCAGCAGCTTTATGTTGGCTTTCAAGGAGCGAGGATGCATTATGACCCTTTTTTTGTAACCTAGTGTTTGGCTGTGCCAAGGTGTCACTTGTTCACTCAGGGTGTGCTTCACTCTGAAACACTTTGGATACTCTCCTGGCCAATAAGACCCATGTTTGAGCAGACTGATTCAATAAATGGCATTTTTAACCTTGTTATGTACACAGAGTGAATGTTAAATAGTGCCTTTTTATCAAATCCTTGCACCTCTGCCTGTGACCCTGTGAACTGTTGACAGAGGGCTGTCCCTGGTGATGTAAGACACAGTGAGTTGGATGAGGATGGCAGTGTGTAACCCTAAGAGGGACCCGGAGGGATATTCCATTAAAGCATGTGAGGGATTCAAGTGCTATGGGAAAGAGTTGGGCTGGGGGGAGGCACCAGCTACTGTGTCTGAAGAGACATCTTTCCCCAGCAACTGGGGGAACGCTGTACTAACCCAAAGTGAAATTAGTGGTTGCATCAATTAAACCATTCCACTGATGTATTGACCCACATGTATTTGTCTGGCTCCATGCTGGGGCTGGGTAAGTGGGAAGACACAGCAGACAGCCTGAAAACTGGGGCTTGCGAAGAGCCGAGCATCAGCAACTCCAAGTTCTCTTGTTTCAACATTGTTACGAGCTTAAAGCCAAAACCCGCGTGACTAATCCTGTCTCGGAAGTGCAGTTGCTGTGGTTATACAACCAGAAACTTTGCAGGCGTTTCCTTAAATTGCGCAGTCCCTGCTCCCATCTCCCCCTCAGAGTGTGCTCTTGGCACTGCAGGTTTCAGAAGCGTCTGCCAGAGAGGTACAAGCTTAGCTCTTGCATTAAACAGACAAGTTAGCTTCTTTCTCTGAATTTTAAGGAAATAGACGCTGATTATTTTGGAGTGTACAGAAAATATATCTACTTCGATGTATGTACTGTAAATTTCTAATTTATCACTGTAAAAAAACCAAAACAACTTTGCTATTTAATTTTTATATCAAAATAAAACTTTAACCTCTGTGGATAACGAAAGAATTCCTGGCAGCCTTCACATTTTTGGTGATTTTGTTTCTTAAATAGGCTTCAGCATTGTTGGAAGTGTTTTTTTCCCCCTGAATGAAGAAGGACTGAAATGCTCATGCTTTGGTGAAGGGATGCTTTGAATGGGTTAATCCAGCATGGTTTGGATGTATTAACTGAGAACAAGACATTGTTGGGCAAGAGTCAAAGTATGTTCATGTTTCTGCACATGGGGTGGGCAGAAACCCTTTCAAAGACAGCACACACGTCCTGGGTGCTGGCTGGGGCTGCAGCTGGAGCTTTGCTGTTGTGGGAGCATGTCTTCAAATCCCAGATGGAAGGCAGTACAGAAACACAGCCCGCTGCTGCTCTGGCACTGCTGTGAGGTGGCTCCTGAGAAGAGCAGCACCTCCTGTAAGGCTCCTTTTCTTTCAGGTGTCATGGAATACATGCATCCAAAGTGTGAGCGTTCCGATATGGAGCGTTCAGTGCAGGAGGGCAGTGTCACCACCGGTCTGTTCAGTATATGGGAACTATTAATGGCTTTTGGAAGGGAAAAATCATCTTAGTAACCTGCTTGAAATGAGTTCATTCCTGTGGGTGATTTCAGTGATTTCAACCCTTCAGAGGAGAGATTCAGTTGAATGTCTACATCTTCTAGCAATGGTTTGCTAAAAACTTAAGCTTATTCATGCTCTACTTTTCATTCCTGTTTGTAATTTCTGTTCACAGTTGTGATGTATGGGGACAGCAAGGAGTTGCTTTTTGTGTGCGTCCCTCACCAGTTTCTTTTGACACTGATAGAACAGCATGCAATCTTAATTGTTTAAACCCACTTAATAGTCTCCATCATGAAACAATCCATGTGTGGGATTATTTAATTAGCAGAATGTTATTCTAGTAAGAGCCTAAATCAGACTAGAGTGGATAATAGTGAGGGTGTGCTATAAAAAAGAGTAGCAACTATCACCTGTGTATCTGTAGCTAATCAAGTTTTGAAGAGCAGCATCTAAAACTGGTAATTATGAGGGATTTGCTCATGCCTTTGGCAGCTCATCATTGTAATGTTTTCAGGCTGATGATTAATGTGATCTCTCAAACTTATCCTAATGAGTCTGTAATAAAGCTACTGTTAACTGTAACAAACATAAAAGAGCTTCTGGGGGAAGGAGCAGGATCTCCCTCTTGTTCATACCATCTGAAAATCTCAGGTGTGGCATTCAGGATGGTGTTGGCTGCTCCAGGTCTCTCATGGGTGTTAGCCTTCACACAGATCCCTCACATCAGCTGTCTCAGAGCATCACCTATGAAGTGACCATGGATTGCTGGAGTGGCTGTGAATGGTGAGCAAGCTCCCCAAGCCACAGAGATGACAAATCCACTCAGGTTTGCCTGAGTATCTTGAGGGAAGTATCTGTGTGCAATGCTCACAAAAAGTTAGCCTTTATGAGGACTAATTTTTGTGGTTGTTTTGATATTTAGGCCTGGGGGTTTTTTACTTGGCTGTTTTTTTCTTTTTTTTTCTTTTTTTTTTTTTTATAGCATTGTCTTTAAAGAAAACAAATATTAGGGAGTTTGTAGAGAAGGAGGCCAGAGTTGTGCTGCCAGCAATCAGGAGCAGCTTAAGCTCCAGTAATGTGAAAATACAGTATCATCAAGTCCCTGGCTTCAGTGGTGGTTTCCACCACACCTCCTCCATCCTCAGCCACTCATTCCCATAATGGTGCCACATTTCAGCTCCTCCTTCACTTTGCCAGTACAACTACTTGTGGTATGGTGCAGGCATCATCCTGCGGAGCTGCTTCCCAAGCCCTCTTGCACCATCTCCCCCATCAGGCCACAGCTGTGCCTACCTGCAAGGTTGTAGGAATGGGAGAGAGCAAAGTGACAACTGCCTGGCCACTTCCAGCTTCCCCAGCCTCAACTAAAATAGCAAAGCCTTCAGTAGGGCTGTTGGTAACTCCCTCATTCTTTAACTGGGATGACTGAGTCCAGATGTGAACTGCTCACCTATAGGTGAATGCCCCATTACGCAGCCCCACAGCAGCTGTGTTGCTGATGCTCCATAGTGCCCTTTTCAGCATGCTTGGACTAATTGGCTCATAATATAGACCAGGAGTCTGCAGCCTCTTTCTCAATCTAGGATGGCTTAACTGGCCTGCCAGACTCTGGTGTAACTTCTGTACAGAGCAAAGCCTCTCTGTGCTTGCAAATCCAACACTGGCCACAACAGAAATGAGGCAGAGCACGGTCCTGGCTGGAGCAGGGTCATGCAATCCTGCTGCCCCTCACCAAGAGGAATGGGTGCAGGTCAGACAGCTGATGCTGAGTTGGTGCAATAGATCCCATATCACTAACTATTTCCTGAAGCTGGGAAATGATTTCTGACCAGAGGTCCTGCACATCCTGGCAGACTCCAGCTGTTGTAACAGCTTTGTGTTGTTAGCAACCAGATGTTTTGTTTTATGCTCTGGGAACAGCCTACCAAACAGTCACCACAGGGCTGGAAGAGCACAAAGGTGGCTTAGAGGGCAGCAGCAGCAAATGAGGACTCACACGCTAAGGTATCACAGAGAAACTGTTGTTTTCTTTTCCTAGTTTTTTTGGGGGAGCAGGAACATCCTGAGTGCCAGATGTTAGGTACAGCACCACAGAAAACAGGTTAAATGCCAAGGACAAATATTATTGCACCAGAAAGTTTACTGTAATTTATAGCTTTGATTTTCTTGTTGTGTTTTCTTCCAAAAGGGAAAGTGCTTATTAATTAGATCCACTTGGAGGGCTCAGAAAATGGATACTTAAATATTGTCCATTTTTAAATCAAAGGTTTAAAACATTAAAGATAACCAAAATAAAACAAAAAAACCAAACAATTACTCATGGCTTGTCAATACACTGGCAATATAAATATCTTCATCTTATATTTCCATCAGTATTTAGCTAGTTTCCTGTCTGGTTTTTTCATTTCCTGAGCTTACTCTGAGGAAGGGGAAAACATCCGTCCTGCAAAATAGATGCAAATCATCCAGCAGACTGCTTCTGCTTCTACAATATTAAATTTAAAAATATTACTATGCAGAGAAACAGCCTGACAGTAAATGTTTCAATGGATGAAGTGTTTTCTTCCAAAGCAGCTCAGAGGTACTCTCACTCAAGTCCTTGGTAAGGATTGATAAGCAGAGTGCC